TGAAACATGCAGAAAGAAGGAAGGCGAGGGGAGAAACACGTGCAGCATAGTAAGCAGCTGCATTTTGAAGGCTCTGGGATGGCTCTTCTTTGTACTCTGCCTTGTTGGCTGCTCCTAGCAGCATTGCCCATAGCAACCCTGCCTGGAGCAAGCGAGGCTGCTCCGATCCCACGGGTGTCCCTGCAGCGAGAAAGGGACCTGAATTTACTCCCAGCCCTGCTGAGCAGTGCTCATGCCCAGCATCCATCTGGGAGGAGGCAAGGGATCGCCCATCCATCAGGGCTGCTGAATGAGAGCTACACCTCTCCTGGCTGTGAATTCAGCCAATCTACAAACCTTCCCCTTTTATATTAGCAACTTTCTCCATGTAGCCACGTTCCTGTGTGTTGGGGTTGAATGAAGAGAAGCTCCTCTTTTAATTTTTGCTGTCAGGAGTAACGGGTAAGTGTAGGAGGAGGAATATTAATCATACCCAGCAGGCATTCTTCAAACTTAGAAACAGCATAAGGAAGGAGCCCAAATGATTTAAACATTGCGGGGACCATTTGTATGGGAGTCTCATGCTTGAAAACGTGCAGAATACTCTTTTTATTTTTTTCACCCCAATTTAGTTTAAAAGGGAAGTCATTGCTCTCCCACCTTCTCTCCGCAGTGCGGGTCACTTCCGTTAAGAACTCCTTCTTGTCAATCCTCTGCTTCTTTTCCTAATTTCGTTCTATTTCTGGGTTCAAAACAAAATGAGGGACAGCGTCATGGTTCGGTTACTTTGGATTTTTCTGCTGATGTTGTGGCAGCATGGCATAGCCCTGTGGTGAGAGGGCTGCTCCAATCCCTCTCTCGGGCATTGAGAGGCCCCAGACCCTCCCGCTGCCTGCATAGGAGCAGGGTGCCTGATGGATGGCTCACCTTGCAGTGACAGACATCACCAATGGGGCACAGCACCTCTCAGCTTGAGGGCATTGGTCCTCACTGCATGAGCCTGGGTGAAGAGCAGCATCCTCCCGGGCCTCTTTCCCTTCCCCTTTTTCCTCTCAACCCATTTTTTTCAGGAAGAGAAGCCCGCAGACAAGAGCAACTAGTGACCTTCAGTGGTCCTGAAGGGTGCCTGGATTTTCTAACAGGATTGGAAGACTTTCCATCTCCCATCCTATTGGCATAGAGCGAGGTGATCTCCTTCACCAGGCAGAGCACCTTATTCCAGGTCAGCCCGTTCCCTGGGCTCTGTCCAAGGACAAGGCACGAGGCACCAGCCCTTCTCCCACCTCCTCCCTTCTGTTTGGTTAATGTATCACAGAAGCTTTACTCAGATCTGCAGGAGTCTACAGCGAACATCACTGCACTGCTGTGCAAAATTGCTACTCTCTTGTGTCTCACCACTGCTGAAATTGGTTAAGAGCATCTGACTGCGGGCCAAATTTCCTCTCCATCATCTCCTTAAGCATACAGATTGTTTGGCAGATTTTACCACCCCTCAAGCATGAGCTTTAAAGGAAAAAAAAAAAAAAAAAAAAAAAAGCCAACCACTTGCTCAGAGAGCTAAAATCCTGCAGTGAATTTTCTCAAACAAAACAAAGCAGTCCTGGTGCAGACCCCACATAGGATGCTGGAGAGCTGGGCTTTGCAAGCAAGTGGGCTTCTGCTTTTTGTCAGCAGATCATTAAAACAGATGCTCTAGTAGAGCATTTTGGGGTTTGAGACAAAACTTCATTCTCCCAGCTTAATCTGCTTCTTGCAGAATTCCCAGCCACTTCTGGTAAGGCATTCCAAGCTCAGAGCTCGTGGGAGGCTGTGGTATTCCTCACTCACAGAAGTTTGAGCCCTGGTTCCACATGCGTAAAATGAGTTTGTCCTCCTGTATGCTCTTTTCCAGGAACACGGGGTTGGTTTGGGCCAGGAAATGTGTCCACTGAGTATGTTGGAGGCAAAAAGACTAGACAGAGTGGATTACAAAGCTCTTTCAAAACTGATCAGGTATGGCATCACCAGCCAAAAGAATTTATGCACTCAGGGTTCAGAGAACTCCAGAAACCTCCCGTTGTGCTCTGAGCCTCTGTCTCAGGAGCTGTGGGCAACCCTTGCTCTGCTTTCAGCCCCGTGGCAGAAGCACCCTGAGCAGCAACACAGAGAGCAGCAAGCTGTAATTTGCCAGCAGGGCTGTATACCTCAATGAGCACTTCCTACGTGTCTATGGGAAGATTATCCTATCAAGTCCCATGCTTCTGTGAAAGGTAAGTGTTTAAAACATGACTAACGCTGATAGATGCTATTATTCTATTTTATTCTCCAGCTTGTGAGTAATGTCTCATTATAAATGGGGACGCATTCAGAAAAACATCATCTCCCTGCTGGAACGTGGGCTCTGCTGGCACGTGGCTGCTGTGCCTACGGATGCCAGGTCCCTCTCCTCGTCCTGGATGCCTGCTGTCCCCCACCAAATATCTTCCTCCTCCTATGGCCCTGAGCACTTGCATTTTTGGGATCGCTGCTGAGTGATGGAGCAATGGGCAGTTAGGGTTAGGGTTAGGCTCTTTCCTGAGCCTCCCAACCAAAGAGAGTTCTCAAAATGTGCCCACTTAAACGGCCACTTTGGGGAAATGGTTTGGTTGTGTTGTGAAGCACCATCTTGCCCAGGTCTTTGTGTTTTGATGGCTCATGCTCGTGTCACAGGGCCAGTGAAGATCTGTGGTCTTATCCTGTGAGGCCCAGCATCCCTGGTGCAGGTTCTCACTATCCTCTATCCATCCTTTATAACTCATGCAAAAGAAAACTAGATATATTCTTTAATTTCCAAGCATTGCTTTTTCCCTCACCTCCTGCTGTGTGGGCTGGGTTTTTTTTCCCCCTCCCCCCCTTCTTTTTGGTTTATATTATTGGAACGTTTCCTCTCCTGTTTTTATTTTGAAAAGGGGAAGAGCGCCTGCATCCCCTGAGGTGTCATTACGCTGAAAGGCTGCTGATTTGACTGTGAGGCACGCTCGCACCTCCCACACTTGTGCAGTCGGTGACGCACACTGCGATCAGTGGAGAGGGGATGAATAAACCCAGCGCTCGCTCCTCGCCTGCCGTCCCAAAAAGAGGGGGGTGGAGGAGAGAGGGAGGAAAAAACGGGCTCCGGGAGTGCAGTTTTAAGAACTGTTTTCTATAGAGCTGAGGAAACTTGTTAAAATATCTATCTCCATCACACAGGCCTTCTTGGAGCAGTGGGATCACTGAGAGCCTGGATTTGGTGGCCCTCGCCTTATGCTTCTTTGACCTGAGGCAGCACACTTCAAGGCTTTTCCTCTGCTGGAGTGCAAGTTACAGGGGTGCCTGAGGAAGAGGAGCATATGGTCCTGTTTGTACCACAGAGACAACAGCAGAATTTGGGCATCAGTGATCTGCACGAAGACAGCACGCCAAGCAAAGCAGCAAAGTGGTTGTCGGGTACCTGGGCTCCATGAGCTTAACAGATGACTTGAAATGGCTGAGCTGGAGTCAGATTTTCTTTTCTTTTTTCCCCAAGTTCTGGCATGGGTCTTGCCTATCTGCATGTGACCCTGTGCTTGGTGTGTGTGGCGCTGGGGGAAAAGATGTGCAGCAGGATTAGAGACCAGCACTGAGGTTCCACCACTAGTTCCCCTCAGAAAGCTTTGCCTACAGCTTTTCACACTCAGAGAGTGCTTCTCCAGCAGATCCACCCCCAGCCTTACTCTGGGAAGGAAGTGGCATAGAATCATACAATGGCATGCAGAGGCTGCTGCTGCTTGTCTGAGCGGTTAGCGCCAGCCTTCAGAGCTGTCACATTAAGGATGCAGCCTGGGTGTAGCTGTATCCTAGCTGTGCCCATCATTCACAGGCAAATGTTTTTATGCCCCACATTTCATCCCTCAGACTATTTTAAATAATTGATATTAACACTCTACAAAGAAGAAAATGGACGATAGGCCATCGTTTACCCACTGCATCAATAATAAATGGAGCAATGCCAAAACACATCAATAGCAAGCTTGTTTGTCCTCCTCTCACATTCACGGGGCTCCTGACCTGAAGAGGTAGAGCACGAGCAGGTGATCAGGCTAAGGTACCATCAGTCAGGTGAGGAAACAGAGAGGTGTGGTGTAACACAACACTACCCTTCAGGAGACTTACAGTTGGGTAAAGTTCCATGTGCTGTGTGAATGCAATACGTTGTTTCCTGGGTAATGCTGCCTCCCTTAGAAACTGAAAACTCGACTTCAGCAAGTAGTTTCTGACACAAAGACCCATGCTCTCCAAGCCCCTACTTGTCCCGATGCTGCCAGCATCTCAGTGACAAACAAAGCAGATGCTGAAACATCTGTGCTGAGTGCACCGCTGTGGGCTCCCACACAGCACGGACAGACCACATTAACAATGAACGCATTTGCAGTGATGTGTTCTGCCAGATCAGGGGTGTAATGCCTGGCTGCCATTAATGGGCATCTGTGTTACAAGATCAGATTAGTTATCCAAAGTAAAACCCCAAAACATGGATAGTATGGATGTAGAATAACTGTTTCACACTACAAATCTACTGCTGTTATTTTGCAGCGCTGCTTCACGTTGATGCTCTCTGGTCAGCTCCTTAGCAGAAGAGAAATTTGTAGTTTGGAGCATGGGAACTGATAATCATGCTCATGTTAAACCTCGTAGTTCCTCATTTCTTGTGCTCTTTGGACTGGTTTCCAACTTGTCTGTGTGCAGCTGCTGCAAGGGAGGATTGTGGGTCCATGTGCAACGTTGTTTTATTCTTCGTTGCTATTGCAGTTTGTCTTTTCTCTCTCCTTTGTCAAAGTGAAAGCTGCTTTCAGCTTTATCTGCTTCTAGCATTGGCTGCAACTGAACACACTGACAACACAACTGTAGCGGCAATGCTAAGTCACAGCTTGAAGCAGTGATTGAGCACCTGGTGGGAAGTCAGGGCCAACCCTGGGGAGCTCAGGTGCATGCAATGTACTTGATGACCAGAAAGGAAGGAGCCAGGATCCACCCCTTCCCAGACCTCATTTAAGTGTGGGCAGTGGAGGCAAGGTTGTTTTGCTGCAGAACCCTCTCTACCAGAGTCCTTCTAAAGGTAAACAGCTTCTTCCCTTTATTTCTGAGCTTATGGATGTTGCATTTGTGCAAATTCTCCCTTGCTGTAGCCTGGAATCTTGCTGCTCTGCTGTCACTGCTGCACCTTCCATTGCATTACAGCATCTGATGCTGCATGTTGTTCTGCAAGCCATGTATAGAAAACATCTTCATGTGTGCCTGAGCTATGCTGCAGGCATCTTTGTTCAGAATTCCTAGTACTGCAGGCATGGCATTCAGCTGAGCTGGTTTTGCCTCCCACACCATTCTCTCTGTGTCCTGACCCTCAGTGCTTATGCATGAGTGGCTGCTCTTTAACTGGTTTCCATGGGTAGCTATGCTCTGTTTGGAGCTATTTCTCTAGAATTAAAATTCCCATTGACCACAGCTTTCTTCCTTTACAGCAGTTCTTCCTGAAAGCCAACATTTCTAAAGGAATTGCTACAGATCCAAAATTAACTGTGAGAGTTTCAGCTTTGTACCTTGTTAATCCCATTCCAAACTCTTGGCACCAAGCAAAGTGAAACGCCCCTCGTGCCTTGCTCTGTCCTGGCTACCACTCTTGCTGTTCTTACCACAGTTAGCTGATTCAGGTGTAATCCTGGTAATAGCATCCTTCCCTCTTTTTCCCCTTTGGCAGGCTCAGCAATTCTTGTTTTCCATACCTCTACTGCTCTGTGTTCTGTACACTATTTTGTGCTCACGACCTCTTGTAGAAATCCTTGGTGCTGGGCAGCTGGCTTCTTTGCTGGCTCTTGTTCTGCTTTCTTAGCCCACAAGCTTCATAGACCTGAAAAAAGGAGCTGATGCTTTCCAGAGAAGAGAACCTGGAAGACCTGGCTGCTTCTGGGACAATCTCTGCTGTGCTGCTTGCTCCTTGTAACTGACATGAGAAACTCTCCAGGCAGCTGGTAATACTACTGGGGGAAAAATCCTCTTGCGCTGAAGCTGAAATGTTTCACTGGCTCATTTTAACATTAAGGAAGGTGTCGGGGAGTCCAAACAGAGATTTCCATTAGATGCCTATCTTTTCATTTTTCTTTTTTCTTCCCTCTGCTGCTTTTCCTCTGTCTGGCCACAGGGCAGAAGATAGAACTGCCCCAATGTTAGTTTCCAGAGTCCTCTGCTGCTGGGCAAGGCGCTTTTCCTCCCAGCGCCGGCTGGCAGCCTGGCCCTGCAGCTTGGCTGCCTCCCCTTCCACTGGGAAGGTTAAAAAAAGAAAACTCAAACCTCAAACCGACCAAAAAATCCCTTCTTGAAACTAAACCCGATTTCCGACTCCCCTTTGAAAAGGAAGTGCCTTTCTTCCCATGCAGCTCTAACAATGACCCTCTTTGCTGTCTGAAAAGTTAAGCTGCTCTGCTCTGATGTCTCATTGAGTCCCTGTAGATTTTAAATAGCTTGATGTATATGGCTCTCTGCCATTCCCTTGCCAGGGATATTTTTAAATAGCCGTTATTTTGGTGGCAGACATGAAAAGCCAAGCTCTCTCTACTGCTGGCCGTGCAAATCCTGCTCCTGAGGCTGTGTTGAAATGGCTGATGTCAGGATGCAGGCAACGGCATTTTTGGCACTGCTGGGTGGTGAAATTGCTCTTGGCAGGAGCAGCCCAGCTGTTTCTTTTATCTCTGTTCATGGCAAGGGGCAAGGTGGGGAAGGGAGGGATTAATGTTTGCTATGGAAGTTTGAATATTTTGGAAGCTCTATAAACAGTGTGTGTTGAGGGGGAAGCAGTGACACTGTCTTGTCAGTATATGGTTCAGCTTATGTTTGCCTCTGTCTTACAAAGGGCTTGAGCCTTCCTGTACTCCCAGCTAGTGCAAAATTGCTTGCTAGCTGTGAAGCAGCCTGCTTTTCTCTCTGGAATAGTGGAACTGTTTCAGGACATTATTAGGACTGGGAAAAACTACCCAGCATGTCAGAAACGAATTTAAATCAGGCCCAGAGCAACTGGCACTCGGATATGACAATTTTATGGGAGTACTGCAAGGCAGGTATGATTACAGCTCGTATAACAAGCTGAGAAGTGAGAGTAAGAAACTGTGAGCACATTAAAGACAACAGTAGTGTGCAGTCTGGGTGCTCATAAAGACACAGTTCGTTCTGTCTCTTCATAAAAAAAAAAAAAAGACCATTACCTGTTGGATGCTGCTCTGGCTTTCAGTGATACAATTAACGGAGTTTGTTTTGGACTAGCATAGATGATCTAACCATGAGTAATGTCTTAGATTACATCCTGAAATGTCAGCATCACTGGTGGCAGCTACCATCTTCAGGATGCCTTCACGGCAGCGTTCTGGATGTGTTGTTTTTCCAGGTGGTTTCAGATAATAGCAGGGTATGAAGAGCTCTGCTGTCAGTAAAGTATCAACACAGGCAACTCTCAGCAGGTAGCTGGTAATAAAAGATTCTCATGCTGGCAGCGGAATCTGTGGATTAGGATTTACTGCTGCTTTGGCAACTAGAAAGAGTGAACATTAAAACTATCAGTGCCTGAAAATTCAGGGTGTGAAGGGAGGGAGTTTTCCACCTGGCTGGGACCCCAAGTTTGTGTCCCTGTCTTCCTATGCTAGCCAGCTTGAACCCCTTGGATTTCCTCCCCTTTCCAGCTCATTTTGCTGAAATGTTTTCCTTCCCTAAAAATACTTCCCCACCTCTCTGAGGCTGCTGCTCAGAAGAAATAAAGACAAATCATTTGGCTGCTGAGCATGTATTTTGGAGTAAAGGTTTAAGTAAGAGTTGGGGAGCCCCATGGACCTTTCCCAACAGCGCCCATGTACATGGCAGCATGTGCAGAGATGTAAGAGTTCACTGGCATAGGCTCTGCTATTAAGAGCACAAGAGTTTCTAGCCAGGGGCTCTGGAAAGAAATAGTAAGGGCCAATGGCTACAGGCTTAGCAGCTGAGCTGCACAGAGACATTCCCACGAGCATCCTTTGATTTATCTCTTATTCTTATCAGCCTCTAAAATGAGCCTGACTGCATGGGGGACTCCCGTGGCCAAGCTCTCATGTAAGTTGCCTTAGGAAGGGGTACAGCAGACAAGCACCGGTTTTCTCTAATAACTACCTTTGCTGATCATGGGAGAGCTCATCGAAAAAAGCTGGAAACTGGACAGGGAGGGAAGCTAAGATGCTGCTTTGTACTTCTGCCTTCTTCAGAGGTTTCTCTGCCTCACAGCCCAAGCCCTGGTCTTACAACAGACGCAGACCTGGTGGACCAGTGGAAAGTTTTCTAGAGATAGAACTGGAGTTAGGAGGTCACCCAGCGCTCACTGCTTGCTGCAGGATGAAGAGAGCTGTAGATGAGGCCATGTGCTTGGTCCCACTCATACAGAGTGTGGTTTTAGAGCAGAATTTATCCCTTTGTCACCAAACTAAGCACTTTATCCAAGTCTTGCTTCTCCTTGGTTTTGTTGCTGTCACAGGCAAAATGTTTCGCTGCCCTCAAATTCTCCACCTCCTCTCCTCTTCAGCATAATTTCCTGTACGGCCACAAGCAGTACTGCAGCCAATCATTTTGAGCTGAATTGCGTTTGATTAGTTGCCTTGTTGGTGACAGGAAGGGGCAGTTCTCTGTAGCCTTTTTTGTCAATCCTTGGATCTTGTGTTTGGCACAGGGGTGTCACGTTGTGCATAGGGATCACGGGTCTCCCTGCTAACAGCACTCAGTCCATCAGGGAAAGCACAGAGCTGCAGCTTTGGTTCTAGTCCAATTGCACCACCTTTTCATCACAAAGAAATATAGTCCTACAATGCTTAACACAGGCTATTTGTTAGCAATAACTCAGCTGAATGTAAACAAATCTACATAATGCTCTGTATCACAAGTCAGCTGTTTAAACACAGAACTTAAGGCATAGCAGTAGATCACCAAAATATATGGCAGATATTATCATAATATCATAGAACTGCTTCTCAAAGAATTAAAATGATCTTTTGGGGCATTCGGCTATCTTCAGCTCTTGAAGGGAATATTCCCCTAGCTGCAATAAATTCAACTGTCTGATAACTACAGTCAAACGAAGAAATTAGATTGCCTAGTAATAATATGTGGGAAGAAAATAACATGGCCACTTTGGGAACATTACACGGCCAAGGGTGTGAAAATCTGAGGGTAGGAAATCTGATCTTTCTCAAGAAAGAAGGTGTTGCAGTAACACCTCAAAAGGATGCAGGTTCCCAAATAATAGGCTTCCTGGGGGGGGTCTCTCTCAAGCCTAACTTTTGGAGAAGCTTTTCTTCTGGGCTTACCCACTTGTCTGACAGTGGCTGGGGAGAACTCTGCTGTGTGGCTGAGCTGTTCCAATTACTCTTGCTGTTAACGCGTCAGCACTTTCACTGGTTTTCCACAGCTTGAGGCGTGCAAGTTGAGCAGTCCTCTCTCGCTAGAAATCTTTTCTCCTGCTCTTCCACCATGGACTGCTATGGTCTGGTGAGACCACCTCTCCATCCTTAGAAATGAGTTGTCTTATTCCTGGCCTTCCGGGTGAGTTTTCCAGGCTCCAGCCTAGATCTGCTGCTCCTTCTGCCTCACTGCTTTCCAGATGTGCTTTCTGTGCTGCTCCAGCCACGGTCTCACCAAAGCTCTCTGCAGATTTTCTGCTCTGTATTTATACAGGCACTGATGTGAACTCTCCCTCCTCCTTCCTGCTGGTTCCCATGCAGCTGGTTATTTGCCAGGGACTCTCTTGCTCAGTCCCCAGTGAATGCAGTCCCTTGTCCTGAAAACGCAATGTGTCCTCTTGTTCCTACATGCAGTGACTTGCGTTTGGTTGTGCTGAAAAATAACAAGCTGTTCTGTGGAACCCAGCTTCCCATTGCTTTCCGGATTGCTCTGCATCCTTTCTGCCTGTCAGGCTTCTTACATTGCACCCAATCAATCTGATGTCTGAGCCTCTCTTGCTGGGGAATGGAAATCATAGTAAATATTCTGCAGTCTGTGCAAGATGAGTTGGTGCTCCCAATGCAGTTGCCTTCAGGCAGGTGTTTGCATATCAGC